GGGGGGGGGGGGGGGGGGGGAGGTTGCCAGAAAAATTTTTCCGGAAAAATTTTTTGGTACTAGTCGGGCAAAATCCCGAAAAGTCGGGCAATTTTCTTTCCGCCCCCCTAATTTTTTCCTTCCGGTACGCCCATGACTATCAGTATAGAGATTCGAAATGCCACATAGAATAAATTACAGTCATGAATTCAATTAATTGAGCTTGAAGTCTTTCTGTTTGAAATTTGGTCACGAAAAAAACCCATGTAAAACTGTAAAACAAGTTGGTGTGTAAATTAAACGATGGTCCAGTTACAGTTTGCAGTCAACATTTTATAAACGTGTCCTTGCTACACAGATGCGACTGTAGACGGCGGTGAAGTTCTCTAGCCGATTTTGGGTCAACAGAATCCCCAAACGCGTTGTAGCGTAACATTTCACAGTCTTTTACAGTACGTATAAATTTAGGCATGCGAGGCCCAACTCGAAATGAATCAATTCTAGTTATATTTACTTTATAATCTCGCATTGCCACCCCTACATATGCGTCGTCTGTGTGAAATGGTTTTCGTATACAGACATAATTAAACAATTTATTGAGAAGGTCGCTGGATAAAATAAAGAACGCACCAGGATTAAACCTTGGAAAGTGTGTCTCGTTATAGTATCTCCAACTAACTGTCCATTTACCACTAATTTCTCGATTTACCCTGATAGAAGGGTAGGTCATCCCTCCGTAAAATGGTCTTGGAAACTTAGCATTGACAAGATATTCCAACACACGTGGTATGCGCACATAAACATCATCGTCTGTTTTCATTGTATATTTTATATCAAATGTACTTGCCCACACTTGACCCATGTAGAACTTGTTAACATTATTGATATAGTTGTCCGTGATATTTCCTATCAACATATCATTGTGTTGTCTAGCTTCAGCCATGTTTAGTTCATCATCGTTCGTTCCCGATCCTGCTTTTCCAACAACAAATACGAGTAGCCACTTTAGATCTTTCAGTCTTTCATCTCCCAAAGCTTTACGTTGTTCGCAATTGCTTCGATTTCCCCAGGTTTGTCGGATAGCCTCGCGACGTTTTCGAAACTCGTCGCCCTTGGCGCCAGAATTGACCAAAACCATCATCAAATATTTCTGTGTCTTGTTAACTTCGGGTGACATATCTGACAAAACGAACATGAAATCAACAAACGGATAATAATCGTTTTGAATGTCAACGTTCTTTGTTCCCAAAACCTTATCCGCGGTAGACTTATGAAATATTTTTGTATACTTGTCATTCATTATTTGTATAATTTTGTTCATGTTTCCTATCATTCCACTCTCATTGTCTTGGTATTCTCGAGAAATGTTCACAATTGTATTCCTTTGCTTTCTGGAGCCGTGGTAAAATGAGCTGTCTTTCGTTAACAATGGTTTCTTTGAAGCATGATATTCAATATACCATACTACAACAACATTACACAGAATGCAGACGAACCCAAAAAAGCGTCGTTTAGACGATTTGAAAACCATAACTTTTACTTAATCCTTTCAGAATTATCTATTTGGAGCTGGTCGCGGCACAAGATGCCCGACTATGACCTATTTATATATTAATTATCTCTGTATCAATATTTAACAATTATTTGCCGAAGGCGAGGTGATTATTGGGGAATATGCACCAGTGGCGCCGCCAGCTCGATAATTGTGGAGCGAATATTCATATATTTCTGTTCATAGACCATAAAAACAATCGATTTCAAAAAAAGTTAATAATGCAGAACACGAAGATATGAATATCCCCCCCCCCCTGATTATCGAGTTGGGGGCGCCACTGGCAAATCATGATGTGTTGGATGATCTAATTTATTCTAATGTCTTTTTTGTAGTCCTAGCTCAGGAAGTCATTCAGCCGCCATGCCTGCCTGTAATCTACACTTTGGATTACTTTGCTTGAGAAATGGCCTCGTTTTGATCCCAGAGAATTTGACTGCTTTTCTCAACGAGAAAGATCAGAAAGAAAGTTCAGAGACCGATGGAAACAATTCTGAGTAAGTACCTTACTGTACATTAAATTGTTTCAGACACTGAAGAAATATTTCTTTTTTGCAACCAGGAGGATTTGGCAATTATCCTGTCTCACGTTTATCCGGCGCCACGTTTGGGCTAGCTGGATCTCGCTAGCCTGAGAGTATTGGCGTATAATGGTAAATTTACAATTACAACTTTGTAAAGTTACCCCCGCACAAAAACTATCCCTCGGTTTTTAAATACTGATATCACGAGCCTCTGCTTGGGACAACCACACCCTGTGAAAATATATTAAATACTAAATTATTTTTATTATTCGTTTCTTGTTTATCCAACAGTGAAACCTTATCTCATTCTCATGCATCGACGTCTATCCCAGCAGCACCATCGGCCCCAGTGAAAGGCCAGGAGATCCAGCAGTTAAAGTAAGTCAGTGGTTGTTGATATCCTGTCCATTGCTACTTCATGTTAGGAACACGTGGTTTAATAAACTAAACTAAGGTAGCTATGATGACGAAACTAGAATTTGGGTCTGCGTTTATGTTAGCGCCTGTTTATGTACTACACAGTACAATTCTGGCTGTATTCGTGTACATTTTATACATTGATATGCTCCTTATCGATTTATAGAAATTCCATCCTTGCTGGTATATCCTATGTTTCTCTGGTGTTGGGTGACTATGTTTTGTCATTGGATCATGCACAGACGTTACTCTCTCAACCTAAACTTTGTGGGTCAATAAGGTATTCCTTCAAGTTCATTCTACTTATATATTTTACACTGTCTAACACGAGACAATTGAGTGAGAGTTTAACACCCACCAGAAGGATGCGATAATTTGTACACTTACTGCAGGAGCTACGCTCCAAAACCATGCATGTGGAGTTAGTGGAACCAGGGATAATAAAATAAATGGATAGGAAACTAGCTGACGTGACCTAATGTTTTCAATGGGCTGATGGCGTGATTAGATGTTGAAACCTAGTTGTAAACCAAATTCTCAAAAACGGCATGTTTAGCAATAATACAGCTAAACATTTTAGTCAAAGAGCAAATGAATATAACTACGCCATTCTACGATGAAATCTCTAAGTATTCCCAGTCAATTTTAGCAAATATTTCAAGCACTAAACAGTGAAAAAGGCATCCCAAATCATAGGCAGCCCACTAAACGACTGAATTTAAATTAAAACTACAATGAAATTATAAAATTTAACGAAAATAATCACAAATTAGCGAAATATATTGCAAAATGTAGCTTATATTAAATCTCCACTCGATTGACCTATCGGCGAATTGACGTATATTAAATTTAATATACGTCAGTTCGCCGATAGGTCAATCGAGTGGAGATTTAATATAAGCTACATTTTGCAATATATTTCGCTAATTTGTGATTATTTTCGTTAAATTTTATAATTTCATTGTAGTTTTAATTTAAATTCAGTCGTTTAGTGGGCTGCCTATGCCCAAATTTCGTTAAAATTGGGGACGCCAATTTCGTAGCTACAAATGTAAAAAAATACAAAACAAAGACGAAAAAAATTTACCTTGAATACTTTGTCGTGGCTTAGGCATGTTTTTAAAACATTTAGACCAGTATATGCTTCAATATTACTCTTTTAAAGCGGAAAGTATAGCGAAACAACAAAAATGCCGAGAACTTTGCAATACGCGTGACGTCACAGATGGCAACTAGGTTGTTTTTGCTTACGTCAGCTAGAGTCCTATCCATTTTATTATCCATGGTGGAACTATCATCTAGACCTGGGTCCGGTTGTTCAAAGCTGGATTAGCGCTAACCCTGGGTTAAAATGTAACCAGCTGTTTTAGTTTATGTATTTCTGTTTATGTATTTTTATGTATCTGTTTATTTCAAAACTTCAGACTTCGTCCTGCTCCACAAATGGTAACACATGCTACAAAATCTACAATGCAAAAATAGTGTGTGTTTTAGAAAAAAACATGTGAAAGCAAAATCCATTCGCTTCATGTTTACACACTGTTACTGACTGTATCTTGTATAGTTTTCTGGGGCATATGTATGCAGCTGAAGCGATGATACATCTGGGACGTATACCAGAAGCAATCAGCCATCTATCTCCTGATAACATCAGTGGTATTTCTAATAATGGACCAAGTGATCAGACCACAGGTTTGTGTTCTGTTTCACGTATTTGAATGAAGACAGCGTAGAGATGTTTGGCATAAATTGGAAACCAGTATCATCGCCATCATGATTGCATGATTGCCACCATCACTACCTTCATCACCACTTTACTATCATCACTCAACATCATCACCATCATCGTTACTAATACCACCATCATCATCACCACATCCTCAACACCACCAGCACCATCATTACCAACACCATACATCATCACCATAACCAACCTCGTCTTCGATCGTTACCACCATAACCATCATCACCATCATCACCACTACCATCACCACTACCATCACCACCACCATCACCACCACCATCATCACCACCACCACCACCA